GAGAGGTTTTGTCTTCCTACCCCATCACCTCTTCCAAAATGTCCTTAAGAATTTTGAAAGAGAAGAATTACAGAGAGGAGGTAAGAAAGGCTATTTCCCTCTCTCTTCAAAACCTCCCACCCCAAACTTCAAAGGATTGATGAATGCTTAAGCTCCTCTTACTTGCTTTTCTTCCAGTCTGCAAGGGAATTCAGTGCCCTCCTGACTTTTCCTGGGTAGAACAATAAGAGTCCAGCCTTCTCCCTCTGGTCATTTGCACATGCCTCTGAAGGCTCACACAGAAGAACCAGAGATGTCACGGAATATTAATTGCAGTGAGGTAGGGAGGGGAGTGTTTCTAGTGATTCTCCAAATAAAGCTCAGAAATCCCAGTAAGACTAAATAAAACAAACCCTTGGCTCTATGGATGTCAGCAAACAACTTATACTGAAAAGGAAGTAATCTAGTGGATATACTGATATTTGAATCTTCGCTATCACTGAGTCAAGGACAATCTGTCGTAAATACGGCGGTGAGAAACATAGTGGCCATGAGATTATACTGTAATGTTACACAATATATGAATAGGAACTCTATCAGATTTCATGAGGTTCCAGAGGTCCCTAACAATGGTGAGAGACAGGAACTCATGGAAACTACTACTGTTGATCTGATCGAGAAGCTGCAGCTGCACGACTTTGAAGTGCTGTGGGTTAGAGACCAAACTGTCATACCACGTTAGGCTCTCAGGATCTGGTTTCCCACAGCAAGAGCCATTTGGTCATCAGATGCATGTTCAAACTTGCCGCCTGATGCCATAACCATTCTGAGTTGAAGTAGGAGTTTTTGGTTTTTGCTTTCTGTGGGTTTTTTTTTTTCCTTTTTTTTTTTTTTCTTTTCTCACTATACCTTGGTTCAGTGCATTCTTTGAAAGCCAGATAAACCTGGATTTGAATACCAGATATGGAACTCACTTATCTGCTGATCTGGCACTGGGAAATTTACTTGTCCTTACTGAATTAAAGTTTCTTCATCTGTCATCGAAAGAGGCCAACTCTTTCCTTGGACTCATTGGGCAGAGTAAATATCACGCCGGAATCGTAATAATAACAGCAATTCTGCCTCAGGTTATCGAGAGAGAGTCTTCTACCTGAAGATGAAAGCTGGGATGTCGTCTTCTTGAATTTTAAGTCATACCTCAGGCCTCATAAATGGGCTCTTCTCTTGGGTTTTATCCTATGACCCTATTTTGTTCACCCACCTAGGACCTGGATTTGGAGCTCTTACATAAGCCAGAAGACAGTAAGCTAACAGCCCTGGTGAGCTCCTTCCCACCTGCTGACCTACCTCACTGCTCTAAGATTGTTGCTGGTAACTTCTGAGGATTGTGCCTAGTTATTACCATATTCTTTGGGAACTGGACTTTGCCTGCCGATGGGAACTTTTTCTTGACTTCTGTAGTCTGGCCAATTTCCCCAGCACATGTCTCACCTAGTGGGTGGGTTTAACCTCAGGACTACTGTCTATGCCAGTAACATTGTCTTCTTCTGGAAGAAATTGGACAATGCATGACTGAGTCCCAGGATATGAAAGCACAGGCCCTTGGCAAGATAGTAAGAGAGTGGATTAATTTCTAACAATAAGAATATAACAGAACGATAATCATCATTTATGGAAGAATTCTTAGGTAAGTTATACTTGCTGCTCCACAGATATTGTCTATAAGCTTCAGAATAATCTTGAATGCTGCTTATTATTCCCATTTTACAGATAAAGAAAATTAGGTCCAAATAAACTACGTCACTTGTCCCAGAATATTTGTTAGTTGTGGAAAAATCAAAATTGAATTCAACCAATCCGCACTCAAAAACCCATGCTCTTTTTACCAATGGCTTCTATATCGTCATGAATTAGGCCCCATTTTTAATTCTGTTAGGACAAAATTCCAGTGTACTTGACAGTTTTGTTTAACATAATGGAGATACCCTTTTCCAGATACAAAGTAGTCAATTTATCCTAATATCTATTATCAACATCCATGGAGACTTGTCCTTAATTCCCTAACACATTCACCATTTGAGCTTTTTTCTTAACTTGGGGATGTACAGATTATATAATAGTGGCAGTTTTACAGAGGGTTTCATTGGTGTGGTGGCTTTTGGCATAATTTGGCCAGGTTTTTACATGTTTTAAATTGATGGAAGCATCCCTCTGTAGCCATGACCTGTATCTCTTTGCACACAGCATCAATCACTTATTTTATGTCATTCTGGAAAGATATACTGAAAAATGAAATTAATGGGTAGAAAATTTGAAAGCATCATGACTTTGTTTAGAAACTTCCTTCTTCTAAATAAAGTGGGGGAATTGAGGCAATTATCTGGAAGATTACCCTCCAGTTAGGAGTGGGGCCTAAATCATCAGCACCGCATCTCTGTTTTGCATGTGCTGGCCTTGGGTGATAATTTTATCTGTGCTGCCTTGTATTTGTTTGGATAAAGGGACACATCACAGAGCACACATCTTAACTCTATTATTCATCCCATTATAAATGGCACTTACAAATGTGAAGGAGGCGGGGGCCCACTTATGAAGTATTCATGACACACTCCTTTTCCATCATCCCACATCCGCCCACCCTGACATTTCCCCATCCAAATTGTGTAGCAACTCTTCTCCTCATCCTGTGTTTTCCGCATATTCTTTCAGGTCAATACACAGATGCTTTTACTTCTCTGAGTTTGAAAAAATAAATCCTACTCCCACACCCATCTATAAAAGATTATTCAAGGTCATGACAATAACGACTCTTTCTTCCTGTGCAAAAAAGAATAACTTTGCTTTCTTACAATGGATATTCTTTGGTGTTTGCCTTAAAATACTCTTGGAGTAAAAAAAATAAATTTCCATTGCCCCTCATGAATTCAAAATGGCCTGCTGATATGATTTAACACACAATATATTAAAAGCAAGAGCTTTCTAGGTGCATTATAACATCTAGACCAGTTGGTTCTTGACCTTGTCTGCACATGAGAATCACCTGAAACACATTGATATATTTTTTTTTATTACTTATATCCTCACTCCTCAATATTCTGATTAAAATAATCTAGGTTGGGTCCTCAGCATCAGTATCTTTTTAAATATTTCAAATGTGCAGGCAGGGTTGAGAAACACTAATCTATACACTATGACACAGGGGTTAAGAACATAGACTTTGTAGTCAGACGGACTGAAGTTTGGATCTTAGCTCTCTCACCAGCTATTAAGTATTGGGTATTTGTGTAACTTTCCTCACCTTTAGATTCTTCATCTATAAAATGGCTTGACAATACTAACTTAAAACGTTGTTATGGGAATGGAATAAGATAACGAACATAACATACTCAGGGAGTGCCTGGTACTTAGTCATTGCTCAGTGCATATTTTTAGTGTGAGGATTAAACTTCTTAGGAATTTTAGATGTGCCTCTATGCTAATACACTAGCCAGGAGACAAGCATTTTTTACTGACTAATATTTTACTTAAATTTCTAAATTTGAATGTATCACAAATATCACTAATAACAATTGCAAACACTTATTAACTACATCAGCAGGTGCCAGCCTCTGTGTTGAATCTTCTATACAAGTTATATTTTCAACCTGCTCAAAATTTTGAGATGTGCTTTATCCCATTTTTAAAAGGGAAGATACGGATTTTGAGAGATTGAAATCTTTTCCTAAATCATCTGGTATGAAGAGTTGGGACTCAAATTCATGTCTGAATATATCTAAACTCAGACTTTTAACCATTATACTAGACTGCCACTACAACCACAAACGTGTATAAGATCAATATACAGTCTCTTTAAACAAAGCACTTTTCTCACTCCCACCTTGACTACACCCAGAGAATGAAAACCAGGGCAGCTTCATAAGCATGCGACCTTCATGCAGTGCACTTGCACAGGGCCGCATGCTCAGAAGAGCCCTGTGCTCAGAATGACTCTATGCTTAGGATTTAACTCTTTGCAATTGCCATCTTGAAATACTTAATAATTTTATCTTTAAATTTATGCTTTGTAAGTGGAAGCTAATAGAACAAGGGAGGATGCAGTCCTGCTTCCCACTTCCTTTCTAGGATGAGTTCTCAATTCCCCATTGTTCCCTGCCTCCTGATGCCTTGAGCTCAACACAGCCTTCCCCTCTATGTCCCCAACCCATTAGGACTCCTTCTCACCTCCCCAGTTAGTGACTTGGTCACTTTGTTTGGGGTTGTGGAGGTCTGTATTTCACCATCACTCTTGCCAGGAGCTAGATTTGGTTGCAGGAGGGTCAGGTTTGGGCGCACGTCCTGCAACATCTCTGGGCAAAGCAAGGAAGCAGTCATCCCCAACTTTACCCGGCAGTGCTGTGATTCATTCTCCAGGTGACTCGGCAGGGACTGCTTCCCATCCTATATCTAGATACTTAGTACCTCCTCATGCAGAAGTTGTAATTTCTTGGGAGTCACTCATTGCTTTGATTTGAAATGGCACCCCCTTGGGAAGGAAAGGTAGACCTCTCTGACCCCAGCTGGGGCTCTGCATTTTCATTTTACAAATTGGCCTCTCAAATTATGTAGCCGGCCCTGATAAAAATCAATAACAAAATAAACAAAAGTCCTTCAAAGGTGAGATTGGGGTCTGGTTTGGTGTGTTTGGAAAGGACTAAGGCAATGTGAGGTCACCATAGCCTGTGGGACCCAGGCTGAGGCAGTGTGCCCACGGTTTAGAACCATGGACTCTAGAGTTGTAAATGTTGTCAATATGAATCCCCAGTTCTGACATTTATTACTGTGTGATATTGGATAAGTAACTCACCATCTCTAAGCCTCAGTTTCCTCTACTATAAGCTTGACATAATAATTATACTAACTCATGAGCTTCCTATAAGATTAAATAAGACAGACAATGTGTGTGGATCAGTTGTTCACCAGTGTCTGAGACATAGTAACACAGGGTAAATGTGATTATTACTAACTATTTTTATTATCTTCTTGACTCAATGTCTTTCTGGTTTGAAGCCAAGTTTGTTGCAATGAAGTATTCATCCAGGACCCTATAAAGAAGAAAAGATTTCTGAGAAGTATACCCCTTTGTATTTTTCACCCCACTTTCTAGGTCCCACAAATAAATATTTCCTCTTTGATCAAATTCAAGAGAATTGTAATTTCCTATAGTGCACTCTCTTCAGGCATCTCAGAAAGTAGATTGCGTCTGAAAAGAAAAGTCCAGCTTTGCTTTCTCCCCTTTCTGCCCCTGAATGCCATAATTGAAGTAGAACAGGAGAAGCATTGACCTAACACCTGTCTGCTCATCCCCTCCCCCAATGCCACTTGCATGAACATCTGCACACTCTCCTTCCTTCCTCCTCCTCTCTCTCTATGGGGACGTCCATTCACACACTCACGCTAGTGTTCCTTGAAGTGTTTAAGATGCATTTCCAAGTGACAGGAAGGACTGCCACACAGAAGTATCACTTTTTTTCCCCATTCTCCAACACATTAATTGGCTGGATTGATTTTCTCGACCAGCAAGGATGGGGAATATGCACTAAAAAAATTGATCGAATAACACAATGGTTTGTGTTTGAAAATGCAGTTTTTTCCAGAAATAAATACACAGGATAGCAAGAGGCCTAGAAAGATCAAGAAGTGCATTCCTCGCCTTAATTCATCTCCTCTAGGTTAAAATACAGCCTTGTGAATAAAAATTACTTTAACAGATATTAACAAACTAGTCTTCCAGAGAAAATGGAAGTGGAAAATAAACACACAACACAATTTAATCCCAGGGATAATTGAAATTAAAACAACAATGATATTTCTCTTTGCATTTATCAATTTAATAGATTTTTCCTAAAACTAATTTCATTGGTGAGGGTATAGCAAGGTATACACCCTTATAAATTACTAGTGAGAATGTAAACCATAAACCTTTCTGGACTATAATTTTAAAATTATGTTTCAAGAGTCTCAAAACTGTTAGGACTTGGAGTTCCAATTATTCCACATCTAGGAAAGTTGTCTAAGAAAATGAGAGGAAATATGGACAAAAATCTATATGCCAAAATGTTTGTTTGCAGCACCAATTACAGTAGTAAGTAATTGACCACAAGCTGAATGTCAAAATGTAGGGGATGAACAAATTACTTATTATTTTTTATTTCCTCTCCTCTAACTCCCCCCCAGCATTTATACCTCTCCCCTCTCACTCACTAGATATCGCTACCTCTTCCAGCTTGATGTGATCTGAAGAAAATGAGGCAAATGGGAGGAAAAGTCATGCCCTGCTGGGGCAGCTGTGATCTGCATTCGATCCCCCTTGGAGTGCACTGTGGGTGGTCATCATCATCATTGGGGATCTTGCACCTTTCCTTCCTTTACTGTGGATGATCTCTACCCTAGAGACCCTCCACTTGACACAGAGTCTGTTGGAGATCTCATTACCCTTCCAGGCAGTACATTTTTTTGTCAATTCTTTTTCAGATAGGTGCAGGAAGGCTACCTGTTATATAGCCCCCAGTTGGTTCATGAGAAAAACTCACAATCCCGTGCTCTGAAAATTCTAGGTTCCCATGACTTTCCCCGCGGAGTTACCTCTTCTTATCCCACCATCACAGTAGCTATCTAGTTAAAATCTCACAATTTTAAGGCCTTTTCAGAAAAGGACTTGGCACCAGTTGCTGTGCTCCCACAGATACTAGGAAACAAAGACCAAGCTGTCCAAGTGGTCCTCTGGAATTCTCTCTCACTTGTCTTGAAGGGAAGTAGAAGCACCCTCTCCTTGGTCCATGAAGAACAGAATATGTGGCCTCACTCCAAATTGTTTTTCCAAGGAAATTTTTTTCTCCCAGACTTTTAACCTCCATTGTTTGAGATATCCTTGAATGAGTGATAAGCCACAGTTGAAAAAATAGATGTGAGCTATTCCTTTGTAAATTCTCCTAAGGTGGTGTAGTACATCCCTTTGAATGTCGGAGTAGTTGACATCCCTAATGTTGCAAGCTCAGTTCAAATTGAGACTGAAATAGCATTATTTTTCCATTCTTTTAGATTATGCAACATTAATTGAGGAGACATACAATAGTGTGAGAGAACAGAGGAGACGCATCAATCCAGAGCCGGGATCAGGGACGACTTTCCCAGAGAAAGCAATTGCCAAACTAAAAGCTGAAGTCTAAGCATAAAGCAGTAGAGGGAAGGAGATGAATGGAGTAACTGCAAGACAAGCAAAAGGGCCAGCATTAAAAGAGAATATTGGGGGAAAGCTCAATACAGTGGCCTCTCTGGAAAACAGTTTGGAAAGCAGTTTCTTAAAAAGTTTAACATACACTTATCATTACAATCTAGTAATCCCACTCCAAGGTGAAAAGGTAACTTGTATTCATATGAAAACCTATATGTGAGTGTTTATAGTGGTTTCATTCATAATTACCCCAAACTGGAAACAATGCAAATGCTCTGTAATGAGTAAATGGATAGACTGTGGTATATCCGTACAATGGAAGACTAGTCAGCAACAAATAGGAACACATTACTAATACATACCCAACAGGAATGAATCTCAAAAGCATTATGTTAAGTAAAATATCCAGACTTAAAAGGCTCCTTGCTCTATGATTCTAGTTATATATTTTTCTGGAAAAAATAAAATTTATAAGGACAGAAAACTGATCATTGGTTATCAGGGACTGGAGGCAGGGATAGAGGTTGACTACAAAGAGTCACGAGGGAATCGTGGAGGGTGATGGCAATATTCTATAAATAGACTATGGTGTTAGTCACAAGATTCTGCTCTTTTGTAGAAGCTTATAAAACTGTATACAAAATGAATTTTATTGTATGTAAGTTATATCTCAAGTGAAAAAAGAGATTACGGCTTCTTTGAGGAATTGAAAAATAGTTAGTATAGAAATAGAGTAAAAAGCAGGGAAAGGTAAATGATGAGCAGGAAAGATATCTGGGTATCAAGTCATTAAGGTCTTTGTAAATCATCTTCAGGAATCAGACTTTATCCTTTAGATAATGGTGAACTATTGAGTGGTTTGACTTGGTTACAAATCACTTCAGAGGGATCACTCAGCCAGTAGAGGGAGAGCAAGGAGACTAATTGGGATGCTCATCAGAAATGTGGTAACCCACAGAGGAGACGGTACTTGCCTGAACTAGGAAAACGTGGTGGGAAATTATTCATTTTTTAACAAATATGCTTTGAGTGCCTGTTGCGCTACAGACACTGAACTGGTTCCTGGAAATAAAAGGTCAGTAAAAATCAGACTCGTACTCAGCCCTCTCAGAGCTCACAAGGTGGTGGCAAGACAGCAAGTACATAATTTTGTCTGTGATAAATTCTAAGCAAACAAGGTAGTTATCGTTATGAAAGTGTGTACTAGAAGGGCCTGTGTCAGACATGGTTAATTACTCACCCAGAATTGATTCTGCCTTTCTTACTGACAGAAACCCCCATTGTGTTTGGGGCACTTATGTGTTAGTTTTCAAAAAACAATATTTCCCAGCTTCCCTAGCAGTTAGGGGTGGTCCTGAGACACAGTTCTGGCTGGGAATGTATAAGTGGAAGGATGCTGGATATTTGTAGGAAGGTTTCGCTTGCCTGACTGTAGTCTCTCACTGCATTCGTTCTTCTTTCTGTCTAGTACATGTGATAATGGTTGAATTAATGACAATGTCAATATTTATGTTGGTATGGCAAGTTTTGAATTTTGAAATTTAATACATGATAATCATTATCGACTGTTACTTTTATGGGACTTGTGTTTGTTCCTCCCTCTCTCCCTGCCCCTCTCTCAATAGCTCAACAGAGGTATGAAAGGCCCTCATGCATGGCATGGTTCACCCTACTGAATGTCTATGTTTTCTGTCTCCTATCCACTACCCAAATAACAAAGTTGGAGGACTTGGGTTCCTCAAACCGAGAGCAGGGTAAATATAGGGTTTTTCATTTTTAGTCCTTTTTTCATGCACAACAATGCTAATCAATTGGTGCTAGCATTCCCAAACACTATGTTGAGAAGGATTCTGTGTCAACAGGAAAGAGTATTGTCTTAATATGTAATGTCATCCATGTACACAGCAGGGAAGACTTGCAACCATTATTTCTTATCATCACGATGGAACTATTCGCTTTGCAGAAAGGACGGCGAGGAGAGCATGCCAGACACGGCTTATAGGTTCAAGAACATGGAAACAAAATAAGCTTATTCTCTGGAGCCTCCGGAGCCAGTCTGTGCAGCGGCCAGAGGACAGCGAACACTCTGCCAGGAACGAAGTAACAGGGTGACACCTGTGCCCTGGGGGGCATAGGCCCTGATTCCAGAACCTTCATTCTAATTGACCTTCACATTACTGTGCTCAAAAACCCTTTGAGCAGTTTTAAAAGTTTAAAAAGCAGTTCAAAAACCCTCTGAGCCCATTTACTCCCATGGAAGACATCTTCCTCCTGCCCAAAGGAGGGGGTGAGGCGGGGCCATGAGTGAAAGCAGCCTCCTGTGCCAAGGAGCCAGGTCGCAGACTGAAAGCAGAACGAGCCGTGAGGTTAATTTTGTCTAGTTTTAGGTACAAATTACTTTATTTTAGTTTTGGGGGAAGTAAAATGAAGCAATTCAGAAAGAAGAAAGAATTCCGGAAAGAAATTCTATTCTTACCACCCAGCAGGGATGTACATTTCAATTGCTGAGAGGAAACAATATTAGATGTAATACTAGAGGCTCATTGGAAGCGGAAACAGGAGCCCTAATTTGAAGCGGGAGCCATTCATAAAATGACTCATAAACTTGCTCGCAAGAATTAAACCAACTTTATGAAGAATAATTCTTGTTTGCATTTTTTTTCCTTTTCAAGCAAGTAATGAACAGTAATGTGGCCCATACCCAAGGTCACCTCAGTCTTTTCCTGGCTTTTAACCGTGGTCAGTAAAGCAAGGATCTGGCAGAGACAAATGTTGAGTAGCCAAGGACTGACCGACAACAGAGGGGGAATGTTGGGAAATCCGGGCCAATGGTCATGCCCTAGATTAAGAAGAAGATAGAGCACTCAATGGTGTTTTATACTTCAGGTCAATCTGAGGCCCAGATCTCTCCCACAAAGGACATTAGGCAGCAGTTTAGCCAGTAACTGGTCCTTTCATATGCCAGCTTGGCTGCCTCATGGGATCTGCATGATGAAAGCAGGCAATTAACAGAAATCATGTTTTCACTGTGGGGCTTGCACACATTTCCTGTCGGATGGCTCCATAGTCAGATGGCACCCTTTACTAAATTAATTGATCATATTACTACCAATGCCTTGCCGTGTTCTGTGTCCTCCCTGTGTTCATGTATCTCACCTCTATCTGGGACGGAATCAGCTTTTCAGGCAGTGGATGCCAGCAAAGCTTCCGCAACTCGGAACCAAAAGAGCAATATCTCCTTCTGACTCAGTTATCAGGACTCCTGACTATTACCGCTTTGTATCACACTATGGGGCAAGCAAGCTGCTTTGGATCACAGAGTTGCTGTGCAGTCCAAACTTCCTCCCCAAGAGAGAAAGCACAACGTAATGTAAAGTCATGGGTCGGAATGAATTTCTATTCTCCCCATAAACTGCTGTTGCTTATGCTACTGCCAAAGGGAATGAGCCTGTGTCACCAAAGTTCCTTAAAACTGCCCTCTCATTTGTACTTTCAGAGAGAAACTCGGACATTTAATTCCCTGAAAAATCCAATTCCAAGTGTCAAGGCTTTCTCAGCTGAAACATGGCACACATGTTGTCTGTCATCGAAATAAGGAGAACTTAACTTCTGTTATTGGTTTCATATTCTTGTTTCTCCTCTTCCATTCCCCATCTTCCTCTTCAAAGGCACATTTTCTGAGTGTCATCTGGAGAAAGTTGGGACAGCCTCACTCTGTAGGGCAGTAAAGTTGGGAAAATCATAAAAACAGTTGACATTTATATAATGCAGTCCCTGTGCATTTTTCTAAGTAATTACTTAGAATAATTCATTCAGTCAGCATAAAAACAACCCTGAGGTCAAGATTTTTGCATCCTCATTTTACAGGTAAGGAAACTGAGGCTTGGAGAGGCTAAGAAACTTGCCCAGGTTCACAAAGGTATGAAGTGATGTAGCTAGTATTCAAACAGATAGTCTGGCTCCAGAGTGTATGCTAAGTGGCTTCTATGCAGAGGTGCTCTTGTTAGTTGGCATATTTCTCAGAGTATTAGATTAATGCTACTAAAGACTTTTGTGCTAATGAATGTAGTCAGCTAATGGAGGGAGGCAGATAGGAAGCTAATGGGAGCTGAAAGAAGGGATGTATTTGTCACATATATTTATCATATAGATAAGTATTATTCTCTAAAGCACTTAAGCACTGTCCTTAGAGTAGGTGATCGTTACTTAAGTAGCAAAGAAAAATCCGTCTCTTTTTTAATAGTCTTTTTTGTAGACACAAGGCGGATGTTTACTATTATGAAATTAAAAATAGGCTAAGGATGCAAATAATACTAAGAAAAAATGAGCAAAAGAGAGGAGAGGTTCGTCACATTCTAGTAAGAACTTAGGACTGAGGAAAACAAGAGCTTTTCAGTGCGTCACTTCTTTTATCTCTCCTAAAAGTTAAATATGTGAGCAATAGCTATTAAACTAACTGGATCATGAACTCGTACATTCATGTGTCTACTGGTTATTCATTCACTCCTTCATTCAGAACGTGGCATCTACATGTGCCACTGTGGGAAGCTTCCTCCAATGTCTCTAAGACTCCCTAATCCTTTGTCAAATGGAGATAATAAAAGTAAATATAAGCTTCTTGTGAGATTTAATTGAGATATGGCGTGTAAATAATAAACACAGTCTAGCCCGTAGTATAGTTCAGTTACTATTCATTTGAAGTAATGATTTTTAGTAATGATTAAAAATGAATGGGAAAACCAAGCAGGTAATATTAATTGAGCCCTAACTGTATACAGGGTCCCTGTGTTTAGAGAACAGGCTAGTCATTGTGCTATTTGTCTCTGTGTGTGTGATTTCTGCATGTTATCTTTCTCTCTTGTTCCATCCATTCTTCCTACGTTGATTGTTGTGCCTTTGGAGCAGGGCAGTTTGGTCATGGGCCAGTTTGTGTCACTACCCTTCTAAACAACCCTTTTTCCTGGGGCTCATTTCACACTTGGTGTTATTTTCAAAGGTCTGACTTTACTCTCAGGCTGTCTCTCATGATCCAGAGCCTCATTCAGTTCAATCCAATTTAATTCAATTCACTTTAGTTAAAAGAAAAACAAATCATGTGGCTTCTACAACAAGATGCAGGGTGATTAAGGCAAGATCCTGCATCATGTTCCTTACAGCCTTTCCTTGCACTTCCTCCGGTCATGCTGTTGGTAATCTCCATTTATAATTGGAGTTCTGGCTCAGTCTTTATCATGCCACCATCTTACCTCTAACAAGCCCCAGCAAGTTAGAAATTTGAAGACGGCTAGCTGACCCGAAAGGGGCAGGAATGGCTGTCTCTGAAAATTCATTCATTATGTGCAAAATGCACTCACAAGGAATTCTTCAAAAGAATGGCCAATCTTCAACTACGTCAAGAATTTAATAAAGGTCTGTGAGTCCAGGGCATTTTTCAAGGCAATAATGAATATGACAGTAGCTGGCCTTGCTCCTTATGAGCAAAGTGCATTCCAGTTTCCTCCTCTGGTGTCGGTCCACGTGAGGCTGACTCCAAAGCTTCCATCAAGACTGTTTTCTTCTTCCTTTCCCTAAACTCCCACCCTTTTGTTAAGGGCATTATCACTCTGGCTTCTTCTAAGAGCCTAAACACTTCTCTTTGTTTGCAGTAAAATATTAACAATCCAAATACCACAGCTATGAGGGAGAACTGAGTCTTAATAAAGTAGGTATACCTTCTGCCCAGATTCCATTGTTTTCCAGTGAAATAACATGTTCATTTCTGTCTAGTATTTCTGCACTGCTCTGACCATGTAAAGTAAAGAGTAGACTTTCAAAAGGTAACAGTCTCATTAGGCCAAGAAATTCATTATGTCTCCAAAAGATTTGACAGTGAAAACAACAGACAGATTGTGAATGCCTCATCTGCTGCCTCCAATACAGAAACAGCTTCGTTGTCCAGATAAAGAGTGGTTGGTCAACATTAAAATGTTTCCAAAGAACCAGCTATAGGCTGTTTGTGTTTTCTTTATCATGCATTTATTTTCTATTTAATTCATTTATGCTTTTATCCATGTTATTTCCTTGTTCTAATTTCCTTGGGCTTAATTTGCAGTTATCCTTCTAAGTTCTTAAGATAGTTGGTTAGGTCACTGATTTTCAGCTTTTTTAAATTAATACATGCATACGAGGCTATATATTTTCCCCTAAGCATAGCTGTAGCTGACCAATGACACAGACAAAATAAAATAATGCAGGTGAGGAGTCAGAGTAGCAGTGTCTGACGTGAGATGCCTTTACGCGGCTTTGTGGTTGAGAATACCGCTCTTAGCTGCCAGGTTTCTTTCAGAGTCTGGATAGCAGTTTCCACTCTGTACTGACGCTCCTGGTTTCTCACCTTAATTATAGTGAAATAGGCCTCTGTTCAAGCAATGCTCACACTGTATGCACCCTATCACCTCTTCTTTCTAGGGTTAGGAAGAAGGAGGACTTTGATGCTCCTCTAAACCAAATGGCCTCTCAATAGGAGCCAGACTATGCATGTGAGCTCCTACGTGCACCTCCCCTTTGGATTCATCAGCCACCATTACTTCCTACCCATCTAAAGTAAATCCTCTTACTTTTCAAATCACAGTCTCCTCCATGTACCCATTAAGAATCATATTTTGATCAGCCCAGCAATCTTCCATTACTTCAAAGAAAGAAGAGGAGAATTTTGTCATGATGTACATCAGGAATACACATTTCAGAATGCATCTAGAATATACATGTTATAAACTGATGCCACTAAGAAAACTAGAAAGCTGACCCTCTATGCTCTCAAATCCTACACCTACGAGGTACAAAAATCACTGCATTCTGGGGCCCCACCACCTAAGCACATCCCTTTCCTTGTGTTAAATGAAATGAAGCAAAAGCCTATGAAGATGGAAATTTTTTTCTTACACAGCCTCCAGAACACCTGGATACCTAAATGACACCTGTTTTTACCCAACAGGAATTCCACCTACCCCATTTAACTGTTAACAGACCCAGATATTAGGCCAAAATCATTGATATTTGGGAAGATAGGCCCAGACTCAACTTCTGGGCAATGAAAATGTCTGAGGAAATTTTCAAAGACATCTCTGGGAAATGTTTCCTTCCCTAAAAAGAGCATGGTTGCATCTCATTCCGTTTATCCTGAGTCTCTCCCCTTCCCTCACTTCCTGCCTTTGACCGTGGTCATGCTTCCTAGAGCTTGGGCAGCCACCTCCTAACTATGAAGCAACAACTTAAGGATGAAAAGCCAACCCACAAAGATGGCAAAGAAAATGTAGAAATGAGCCTGGGTTCTTGATGAAATTGTTAAGCAGCTGAGGCAATGTCGGCAGCCGCCTACCTCCAGATTTCTTGTTAGGTGAAATCAATAAACCCTCAGTTGTTTAAGCTATCATTAGTAGGATATTTCATTACCTTTGGCTGAAATGCATTCCTACCAGATAGACACAACTTGTCCTCATACTAACTGATACTTTACTTATTTCCTTAGTCCCAAAGCCTCAGAACCTACTCTCTGACTAAAGTAGCAAATTCTTTTGTGCACAACGCATCAATGGTTAATGGTGGTTTACTGAGTTATATTATCTCAGGAGGCATTTATATTTTAACACTTGGCTTCAAATTCTTAATAAAAATGGGGGATATGATAATAAAGGAATAGTTGGACCAGTGAGGAAGATGTTTGGGACCAAAAAGTAAACTGCTTACCTCTCAAAACATACCTTTGCTGACCCATGTTTGAGGTCAGCTTAGATAAGAGAGGAAATTGACTGTGTGATTTATGAAAGTGAATCTCACTATTTTGTGTCAACAGGTGGAGTCATGTGTCAAATAATGACCTAAGACTAGAGAAAAAAGGAGCGATTGGGAGGTTCCCTAAGATATCTATTAATTTCCTTGAACTATTGTTAACAAAAGACAATCTCCCTTCTTGATAGCAAGTAGAGACTGAAGATGGCAGCCCTTTTTCCTTTCTACAGGAGAAAGAGGAGAATTTTCTATAAGCATCTCAAATTCAGTATTTTTAAAACAACTCAAAATCTATTTCACTGAAATAGTTTTCTTCTCACATTCTCCGGTAGGTTTCCCTGTTCCTTATGATCATTTCACAGCATCCTCATTTCATTGTGTGATCAAGACTGGCTGATTCTGCATCTTGAATCATCTGGCACTCATCCCCTCCTGCAACTCTAGTTGTTGTTCTGCAGGCCATTTTCTTTCTCTTAAAGGCGATTTGCAGAACCCCCCACACTTTATTGCCTCAGATCTCATCATCTTTCATGCCGTACTCATTGTGATCTTCCTGAAACTCAGACGCAGTCATGCCACTCCCAGAAATCAAATCCTTCCATAGTTCTCCAGAGATCTCTTATGATCAATGCCTACTGACTTCTCTAGTTACTCCTACCGTCATTGTATTTCTATACCATGTGCCCAGCCACACCCAGTGCTTGATAGTTTTCTATCTATACCATATTCTGTTTTGCTTTGCATAAGTTTAAATATGCTATTTTCCCAGAGGCATTTTTCTCCCAACCCTCAACCCTTTTTCAACATGAAGTTACAAAGAGTAGGAGACGGTGGCTTAGGTATCGTCAGAGACTGCTGAGATGTCATGTCTCTTGAGAATCCCTCCCTTCACTCTGTTTCCTCAGAGCATCCTACAGTACCGGTCATTGTCCCTGTCAATAATGTGT